AAAAAAAAAAAAAACTTATCAAAGGTTCTTCTTCAAAAGCGTACGTGCCGGTCCGAAGAACAAAGAGTCCATTAAAAATCGTTCAACCGAATTATTTTCACAGTTGATGTAACACAGACAGGTAGACTCACACCAAGTGCCGCATAGTTGAGCGAGTAGGGGGTGTAAATATGCGCAATCTTAGATAAGGCCACTGCCGTCTCATTAGTTACAAATCGGTGCGGAGCGGATATAGTTTGGATTGCCCAAATGGCCATTACATATCTCCCACTTTGGCTCAGAGGCGTTTACCTCTGCTGTAGGACTCGGATAGCCCCCCCTGCCATTCTGGCTCGCACGCAGGCTATTTTTTCAAATTTGGGGAATCGAGGGGGAGGAGCAAAAGAAGAAAGCCAGGGAAAGAGAGGGAGAGCACTCTGCACATGCACGTGGCGTCTCGGTCTTTCGGGTCCGAGCCACGAACTGGCCACTGCAGAACCGTATATACAGGCGACACAAGGGTTGCTGCGTTATATATGTCGGGCATGCACCCTCGCCCACACTCAGACAATCTTCGGACGGCAGTGTGGACAGGTCGAGTGTGTCTCTTCACTCTCGTCAATTAGGCCCAACGTTTTCTTTTTTTTCTTCCTTCTTCGTCTTCTTATTTCGGTGTTTTGTTGTGCATTGTGCTGTGGTTACCGAATTTGATTTGCCGATCGTTGCGACCGAGCAGCAAATAGTCCCTGGCTGGAGGTGATTACTTTTTTCTTTTCTTTTCTTTTCTTTTTTTTTTTTTTTGTTATCTGCAATAAGTAAAAAATGAGAAATAAATTTTTTGTTTTTTCAATCGGTTGAAAAAATTAATTACAAGAGTTGGCGCTTTTGACTCGAGTGATTTTCATTTCTGTCTTTCTGTCTTTCTTTCTTTCCTCGCTACCGAACGAAAGCACCATTAACTTACGAAGAGGACGATCTTTTGTTTGTTTACTTATATACAATTCGGCGCGATGACAAAGACACTGGAGAGCGTGTCGACAAAGCCAATCAACGAAGACTTGTGCACGTACGCCACGGCAATGAGGATCGACAGTAAGAGCGCGCTCGTGCTCGATCTCTCGTGCAAGGGGCACCGATCATACGGCCCACCGGCGGCAGATCCGTTGCTGCTTCTACAAAAGACGTCCGAGCACCCGCACCTCCAAGCCACGGCCTACCAGGACAATCCTTACCAGCACCAGCACCACCAAGAGACGAACAACAACGACAAGGGCCACGTCAGCGAGTACCTCCAGCCCAAGAGCGAGAGCCAGCCCCAGTGGCTACCCGATCGCAAAGTGCAGAGCCCCGACGATCGTTCCTCCTACGTCCTAACCCCCCCGCAGACCGACGAGCACTCCTCCTCGCCGAGGATGCACGGGTTGACGATAACTTCGGAGGAGGACGAGGTGAAGGCGGCGGCTCAGATGCAGGTGCAACTGCAGCTTCAGGCCAAGCTGTCGAGTTCGTACGGGGTGCCGCCCGGCGTCCCGGTGAGCGTGCCCGGCTTCTCGACCATCCCCGCGATCTCGTACGCCTCGTCGATCTTCCCGAATTTTTACCCGAGCTCCGTTGGCCCGAGTGGCTTAGCGCCGGCCGAGTATCCGGGCTCCACGTCACCAGTGTCCGGGTCGCCCGACGAGGTTAAGAAGGTGCCGCCCCGGCCCTTCAAGGCTTACCCGAGGGACTCCCTCGCCATCAGTTTGACCAGCGAATTGATGTTTGACCCGGAGGTCAAGCTGAGCTACCAGAGCTTCCGCAACCGGATGCTCGACTCGGTCAAGCGGACCTACGAGGGTACCAACATGAAGATGCGCCGGAACAGCTGCAGCAGTGGGAGCGGCATCACCGTCAGCCCCAACTACACCGGTGGTAGCAGCAAGAGCCCGGGCGTTCAGCCGAGCAGCAGTACCATCGATGAGAAGGACGCCGCCTACTGGGAGAGGAGACGCAAGAACAACGAGGCGGCCAAGAGGTCGAGGGACGCGCGCCGAGCCAAGGAGGACGAGATCGCCATCAAGGCGGCTTTCCTGGAGCAGGAGTGCCTCAAGCACATATGCGAGAACAAGCTGCTCAAAGAGGAGAATGCTAGGCTCAAGGAGGAAAACGCGAGGCTCAAGTTCATGTCCTACGGCCATTAGCTTAGTTGGGTACGGTTATTGTGGTCCGTTTGTACATAACTGTGTTTTAAGCAATATGATATTGCGTAAACTATCTGTGTTCCTTAGATAAGACTGTGTCGTTTGTAAATAATCTGTAATATATAATACAAGTATATGTGATCCCGTGATTTCATTCTCGGTGTATTATGGTTTCAGTGCGAGTACGATTATTTTGCAACATTACCGATGAAAACGAGATATTGCTACAACGGTGTGTTTTTTATAAATTTGGACATTGCTGTCCAGTCAACGTTAAGAGAGGATAAACAGTTTCAATAATTAGTTCGTCAACGAATACTCAAGTTGTTTCAACGATACTATCCATACACACGTCTATTTTTGAATTTTATTGGTGTTTATGTATTTTTTCGAAATTTAATATAATTCGTATTGTAAGTCTTTAATGTTTCATAGACGTGCGAAAAATTGTAAATATACCTCTCGACTAAGTTTTTAAATATGAATAAATATTTATTTTTAATGAAAAAATTGTTTCGTAACAAGTGACCTTCATTTAGAAAAACTCAAGCAATTTTCGACAACGATTCCTCCAACTCCATCATGTTGATCTGCTTCTCTTCATTTAATTTTCTTTGAACTTGCCTTGGAATAAACATTGTTACAGGAGCCATGGTTATCTTTGGTTTGACATCACCTTCAGGAGCACTAGTAGATTCTTTTACTTTAACATTTGCCATTGATTTTGTAAAAGTTTTTTGCTTATGATTATTTCCAAATTGTATAATAGACTTTGTTTTTTTGCTCGTTTCCGGTGCATCTGTTTCCATTTCTTCATTTTTTTCACTTTCCCTAGTTGCTTTTGCACACTTTGAATTATCATATCTATAATTTTTAGGGAATTCATGAACTTCTAGACAGTGTTTCCTGCGCTCTGCTGGATCTTTGAATTTCTCCTCGCATTCGGATACAAAACATTGATACTGAAAGTAAAATGATGACCATAAGCACGAGTACTGAAAATTGTAATAAAAAAATAAAGAATACTCACCATTGGTTGTCGTTCTGCAAGGACTTGGAAAAAGTTGTCGTGTGTTTCCTGAACATGAATGTCAAGCAGCCTGGCTGTTGGCCTCCACTTGTTGCATTTCGCACATACATAGTGATGACAATTATGATAGTGCAATTCATAATCCAGCAAATTCTGAAAAGTAGCATTACACGCGTTGCAGGTGAACTCTCCCATCCTGAAATCAACACATAGTTTATGCATGTGTGAGGTTATGGCACGCTTTAACACAAAATTTTTATTGATAACTACATTTCATGACAGAGTCTTTCGTCATCTTCGATAGTTACTCCCTTGCGCTCAAGGACTTTGCAGTATTTGTGAGAATTTTCGAAAAAAGGATCATCAAGAGGTCGCCGACCGACTCCCAACTTTTTGACGAAATCGAGAAGATTGTCGACATTCGGGAGGACTTCCATTATTATCAATACTTTATGTGCTTCGAACAATATTAAGTCTGATTAACAACTAGTTTAACTACAACGAAAACTTGATACAAAGAAAACTCAATATAAATGTATACTTATAACTTTTGAGAAAGTAGGTAAGTAGCAGACGCTTTGAAATTTGAAAGTAAACAATAACAGAGAGCCTCTCTGCCCTTGAAGGATTGACCGCGAGATGGCAGTGTTACAGTTCGATCGAAGCGGGATTTTTAAAGTGGAGTCTCAAAAATAAGCTTAGACTTTACTGGATTTTTTGTAGGTTTGTTACAGTAAATAGACCTTTCTTCTTTTCAAATAATCCAATTTTTATTAACGGTTCGTCAATACAAACGTATTTTCGACCACTTTGGGCAAAATATAATTTTAAAAATTCTTCTCGTCATATTTATTATAAACTTGTACAAAGATTTCATTTCATTGCATGCTGAAAAAATTAAGAACAATTGTTTTTTTCATAAAAAAAAAAAAAAAAAATAAATAAATAAACACAATGGTCCAATTTTAAACGTGCAAATGTTGCCGAGAACAAGGTCAACGAAACGTTTCGGTAAATCACTCGACTAGATGACAATGGAAATTTTTCTTCATTTTGCCAATCGGTAGCTCGCTCGTATAAAAGTAAAGAAAAAAAAAAAAAAAAGAGTTACAGTCCCTGGCTTTTAACGGTACTCGTGCTCCTGTACTTCTTTACTTGGTCCACATCCCCGTAGCGATACACCACGGGCCCTTGGATCGTCATCTTTGTCGCGCCATCCCTGTCCTCTTTCACAGCTGAAACGTGCTTTTTCTCCAACAAAGGAATGACGAATCTCGATGGATCTCCCTTGCTCTGCTTCAGATGTGCTTTCATCGGTTTCGAGGTGGACGGTTTTTTCCAGTTACGACTAAACGCAAGGATCAATTATTACACCTCAATCAGTACCGATCGCAAGCATAACCAATGTTCAGCTTACCCAGTTCCCTCGACTTGTCCGTCCTTCCAAAATCCTCGTGGCCGGAATTTCCCCATCTTCACGGCCGGCCCGTCCTCGTAGTGATCGGCATTCTCTAGATGGTAATCCACGGTGCTCACGATCGGCCGCAACCCCGAGTCGAACGGCCCTGGCCAAGCCTCCTCGGTCCCTTCCAGCAAACCCCTCGAGGTGGATGCTTTTTGTTCGGAAGGGGAGTGGGGCGGGGCCGACGAGGGGTACGAGGTGAGACTAGCGATGATACCGCGATCGCGCACCTTTGGCTTCTTCGGGTGCTTGGCACCGATCTCGTACTCCTCGTACCGATTTCCCGGCAAATTGACCCGCGGAGCCCCAAACATGGCAGCGTAGCCGGCCACGCGCTCGTCCATCGCGAGTCTCTTACCGTAGCTGTCGCGCAGCGCGGGCGCTCCCTCCTCCCTACCGATCTTCGTCTCGTAGCCGGCAGATTTTCCCCGGGGCCCGGTGCTCGGGCGGCTACGGTTCGAGGACGGCCTCTCGTACACCCGCGACTCCTCCTCGGCCCGGTCCCCGTCCTCCTCGTAGTCGTAATCCGTGTTTTCCAAGGAGCCCTCCCTTGGATCCTCGTTCAGCGCCTCGATCTCCTTCTCCCTGGCTAGGTGGTGCTCCACCTTCCCCCACTCGACCGGAGACGCGGACAGGTACAGCCTCGTGACCTCGCCGGGGTCTTGCAACTCCCTGTCCTCCAGACTGTAGTTCTCTACGTTCTGGTTGCTTATGTACTCGCCTTCCCTACTGTGGCTCCCATCCTCCTCCCTGGAGTATTGCGAGCCGTCCTCGCAGCTCTCGGCTGGTTGTCCCGGGGTGGGCAGCGGCAGCTGGACGAACAACGGGGCGCCCGGGGTTGCGCTACTGGCCGGTGGGGCAGGGATGGTCGCGTTGCCATGGAAGGCCCGCTCGTACTGCGCGAGGTGGTTCACCAGGTTCGAGGTGTTGAGGTTGTTACCAAAGTTCAGCACCCCGGTGAACCTCAGGGTTTCCCGTTGCCTCGGGGCCGCGGAGGCGTTGGCCGGGGGCCGATTCGGGCCGACGGGGAGCGAGGCCAGCTGGACGGGTGACACCGTGAAGCCCAGCGCTTCCATGAAGCCCTGCAGGAGTATGCCCAGGGCTCGTTTGTCGCGCGACGCTTCTTCTTTTTCTTTACCGTTTGCATCGGCGACGCGCGCGTAGCTCAGGGCGTGGAGCGCAGTGCAGAGAAGCAGCAGCCGCGGGAACCTCATCTCAGCTGGGGGACCCCTTCAAGGCTTTGGCATGTCACTTTCGAGCGCGACACCAAATAACGAGAGTATTATACCGGTAGCTTCGAGTTTCACTGGGGAAGGGCAATCATCGTCTCGCGCTTGGACGGGAAACAAGAGTAAAAGGATATCGGTCCCTCGGATTCGTCGATCGGTAATTTGTTGTTGGGTGCCGCGCGAATTCTGGGATCGGACTGTCCGTCGCCCGGCGATCGGTCGGTCCCGGGAATGAAAGGCTCAAGCCATCGGTGGGGGAGGAGGTAATTTTGCATAATACCGAAAAGGATCACTAGGCAGTAGTTTCTCTTCAATTGCACGGGTATACAATAGCTGCACGCGCTGGTATGCCGTTCATTGTACTGGCGTAACCTTCGCGTAAAAATTTTTTACCATCGGTGTACCACGGGGGGTATATAAATGACAAGTGGGGGGGGGGGCGGGCTTTTTTTTCAACCGTGCCTCTCGCAACATTGACGAGGGGTGAGACGAATACGCTGGCACGGCGTCGAAAACAAGAAGAAAAAACCGATCGCAACGCGACCCCGAAATGTCGCCATACATGGTATAGAGTAGAGGTGCGCGTAATTTTCTCGATCCGCCGCGTCGACTGTTTTCTTATGTACAATTAAATATAATTAGATTGCTCAACCGGCCGATTTTTACTTCCAAATACGTCCGCAGTTTTAGCACTGCATATACACATCGAGCGAATGCCCGAGAAAATCCTGATGGGCAATCGCTGCCAAAGTACCTAATGGACGATAAAAAGTAGTTTTTAATTTTACACATGTGTTAAGGTTGAAAAAATTTTTTCGCAAGACGTACGGTCGTTGAAAATAAAACGTCTATTGAAAACGAAACTCCATACCATGCGCGAGACATTCGAAATGTATACATTAGCGGGGGCAATCGGGCGTAAAGCGTGACGCTCGTACACCTCTCCGACTTTCGATTTTCAGGTATACAAGTACATTTATGTATATGCATTGACTATGTATTATATAGGTGGATAGGTACAGCCCAACACAGCGCAGGTTGTCATTATTTAATCGTCGGGGGACTTTGCTCTGGTGTGCCCGTCAATGAGGGCTTTGGATGCACTGGCGTCGGGAGAAAGTGGCCGGGGCTGCATTTCGTCGAGGAAAGCATCGAAAAAAACCACTGCGTCGCGAATCGGCAAAAAATACGCTTTACGGTCAAAAGTGTACTAGCACAGCTCGGCGCGTTGATATTATCCACCTGTGTGATTGTGGGAGATAAAACTTAAATTTTAAGGAATTCCGGGAAATCGCAACGTAGCAGTGCAAGATACGCAGAGCAGTGAGCTGATTGTCTTGGAATGATGGCTTTTCCATATAATCGGTGAGTCGGTAAGGGAATTCCCGCGGATGATGGCGCATTTTTTTTTTTTTTTTTTTTTTTTTTTTCAAGAATGTGGTTCTTGCGTTAAGTGGGCACATTAGGCTGGCGCGACAAACATCTCGAAAACTCGTGAATTCATCGACCCGAGTGTTTTGCAAACTAATCGTCGTAGTAGCTATGAGTAACTCTCGGATGCGCTCTATTTTCTCTTTTTTGCAAAGCATACAATTTTGTTTACATTTACTTGAAACTATATTTCAGAGTATGTTCATTACATGATTTGAAAAAAAAAAAAAAAAAAGTCTTGTTAACCATCCGTGAAAGTAGGGATTAAAACAAACCACTAGCGTATAAATAAGCCGTAAAAAAATCCATCCAAACTCTAACCCTGAAACCCATAGTACTGCGTTTTATGGTACAAGTTATACGGTGTCCTCTTACAGCGGAGGAGTTGCAAAAAAAAAAAAAAAAAAAAAAAACTTTGTGTCGTTGGATAACACACACGCGAGAGGGATAATATATACGCAATGGTGCACCTAAATATATAGTACTAAAAAAAAAAAAAAAAAACTCGTGGGAAGGCTCGAGAAAGCAATCGATAAGGAGAGAGAAAGAGGACTCGTAATAACAGGCCAATAAATCAGTCCAATTTTCTCGTTCACTTTTCTAAGCCACGCGAGAGAGTTACACTGAAAACATGGTGAAAAAAAAAAAAAACCAAAAAATTCTACATGATACAGGGAAACAATGATTTTCAAACATCATTACAACGTTTCGTTGTTAAGCGCAAAAAATCGACTTAATTAAAAGTCGAAAACGAGTTGGCGCGTTAATTTTTTTGCATTTGCCGAGCTCACGTGTAATAGTTGGTTGGAAATTACGCCTCTCCATGATAATAGGGCCAGTTTGTCCGGTATGAGATATGTTCCTCGATTCACTTGTTACCTCAGAGAAATCGCTCCTTTTGGCTCTTCCCGTTTGCCGGTTTTTGTCATCGTCCCCATAGGTATTATCCATTCAGTCACTTTGTCCCCCTAATGATCCACGTAACCACCACACGCGTATAATATAACAGCATCCGTAACTACGTAGACGCTCATATACTGCATGCACACACATAACACAGAATGTGTCGTTGTTGTTAATGGTAACGATGCGTAAGAGCACACGGTGTTTTGCAATAATCCGCAATCTATAATGGGAGTGGCCCGAGTTGTTGTCACTGCGTCGAATACCGGTGTATCGGGTACCCGGGCCATATACAACGATAATACGCCAAACGAGTCTCACCACCACCACCCCGGCGAGCGTGTATAAAAGTACCGTCGGGGCGCCCCGAGCTCATCAGTTGCGCTCTCGTAGCCCCGTCCGCGTATCGTGTGCCAAACACACCCCGACACTGTATAATTAAAATGAAGTCGCT